AATTGGTTTTTTATTATGAAAAAAATTGATCTTTTCCTGTTGTTCTGACTGTTGAGTGTACTAAATGTTGAACTGCAGTAAACAACCTGCATTCCTACTAATCCTTTAACCAAAATTCATGTCCTTTCTTTATAAACTCCCTTCTTTATACTGCCACTTCTATCAGCCTTCAGACTACTCTTTTTCTCTAGGCTGGCCTTTTTTTTTTTTTTTTAGGCTGGCCTTTTAAACTCATTTTACTTTGCTACATAAGAGGTTACCTGCAAATCCTTTGTTGTACACATTGCTCTTACTAACTTTCAGCTACTCTCTTGTGTGAGCCCTGCACAGGGGTCAAAGTGAAAATGGTTTCTAAGTGTCGCTGAAAGCTAATCATGAATCATGAATCGCATACAACCTTCCAGGTTCTTATGAATAAACTTGGCCAAAAAAATCAAAGCATGGATTAGCATTTGTTATGGTTCTGCCCATTAAAGAAATAAACATACTTACCTACATGCATGAAATCAAAGTACAATGCAGTTCCAGATTTGTTGATTATAATCCCTTCTTTTGTGCTTAGATGCTTCTCGTCTTCCGGCTTCGAAATGCAGACAGGGCAGACCCCAAATCCTTGGAACACACAGACCTGAAAATTTTATCACCTTGAAGTCTTACTAGTTTCATTTCCCAGTGTCGCCACCACCACTGTGTCTTCAATTTTTTTGAAATGCTGAGCACCAAGCACCATCACCAGCACGATGACCTCCAAGACCACCACCACCACCACCAACATTGTGTTATTTTATTTATTTTTTTTCAAATGGAGAGGGTAGAAATATCTTCTGAGAATGGCTGGGAGCATAAAATTGACCTCAGAATTAATGGTTTCCTAAACAGGCTTTTTAACGGTATCAGTTTTCCAATGCTGGAAGTCACTCAGTGGTCATGTCTCTTCTCACCCTGCAAATTAGTTGCCATGCAGTTAATCCCTGTCTGAGAACTGTACTTCACAAGGATTCCATCAAGTGTTTTCTTCAGAAGTAGATATCCAAGGCCTGGGGTATGGAACTGAAATGCCAACTTTGCAATTAGTAGCAGAACACATAGGAGTTTGCAAGATCAAGTGGCATTCCCCTCCCTGCTTAAGCACACTGTCATCCAATTGTTCAAACTTAGCACAAAGAGTTCCCTGGCGGTCACGCTCTCCACAACCGCACTGCAACAGCCTACTTCCTCATGATGGCTTTAATGACATTTACCTTTAATGAAATTAATACTTTTAAATTATCCAGGGCTTCAAGTCATAAAAAATTTTAGTTTTCATTTTCAACATTCAATCTGAAAAGCTGTACAATATGAAGAGAGTTGCATCAATATCGCAGGAAGAAGACTCATTAACAATTTATAATATGCATATAAAAGAGCTTCCTTGGGGAGCTCTGGTGGCCGAGTGGCAAGGAGCTGCAACTACAATCGCAGAGGCATGTGGTTCGAATCCACTAAATGCTCTGCCGGGGAAGGAGGGACAATCTCCTCCTGTACCACTCAGATTTGACGGTACAAGCACAGAAAAATTTAAAAAAAAAAAAAAGGGAGAGCTTCCTTGCTGTAAACATGAAACACTTTCTACTGAAGTTGACTGGATAGTCCTGACTTCAGGGTAAGAAAAACCCTCGCATGTTGAGAAATACTCAACATAATAATTGTTAAGTGCTGTAGAGTCATAGATTATCCATAGTGACCCTATGAACCAAAATCTTAAATAAAAACCTTTCATCTGTTCTCCAACTTCATGGAGTTTGTGGCGGCAAGATTTTTTTAGAAGAGAATGCCACTCCTGCTTCCAAGCCTGTTTTATTTGTGAGATCCCTAACCCTAACCCGAACTCTCACCCTAACCAAGAAGCCTTTTTAAAAGGCAAGGCTAAATCCCATCGGCTCACACCTTATTAGAAGTTGGCTGTTAGGGATGGCTCCAAAGTACTGATGCGCAATGGCATCACACTGGAGACTGTGGTGTGCCTGATACAGGCCATAGTTTTTTCTAACACATGGTATGAATCAGAGAGCTCCAGCATGACTGGGGACATAGAAGCAAAATTGATGCCTTTGAGCTGTGGTGCTCGAGAAGACTATTTAAATACCACGGAAAACTCAGAGAACAAAAATGTTCATCCTGGAGAGAGTGAAGCTGGGCTCCTATAAGTCGCCAACAACTCAATGGCACTTATCAACAACTAAATCACCTTGCCAGTGGTAACAACCTTTCTTTACGTAACAATATGATGCAATCCATATTGAACGATATATTCTTTGATCTTCTCTAACAAGTGATTCAACACCTCTTTGGTTTCATGAGGCAAGGAAACATGGACTGTTGATGAATCTTTCACGAAATGGATGCCAAATTCTTCTAAGAATCCAGCCTCTCAAATAATTATCTCAGCATACACTAAAGCATACTCAGTTGACAATAAAAAGGTATGTTGACACTAAATAGGTAACGTTAACACACTCAGTTCTTAATTTTGAACACTTGTCAACAATTATAGCTTGCTCTGCTCCAGAATTAACACTCTTCAGCATAACAGTCATATCAAAAGACAAACTGCATTAGGAGAAATGTGCTGTCCAAGACCTCTGCAGAGTGCTGAAAAGCAAGGATGTCAATCTGTAGATATTTGGGTACGCCTGTTTCAGGCCATGTTTTCGCAATTACTTGTAATGCATTAGAGAGTTGGACAATGACCAAAGATGACAGAGGAAGAATCGATGTCTTTCAGTTGTGGCACTGTAAAGGAGTATTAAACATATCATGGACTGCCAAGAGAAAAACAGATCTGTCCTGGAGAAGGTCAATCTACACTGCTCCTTAAAGATAAGAATTTAGAAGCTGGGATTCGCATGCTTAGGGCATGCTGCCTGGAGGGACTTGTCCTTAAGAGAAGGACATCAGGCTTGGAATGGTAGAGGGATGACACAGGTTAGGAAGAACCTGGATGAAATACATTGACCCAATGACTGGAGTAATGGGGCAAGAATGTCAGAGACAGTGAGACTGGCTCAGGAAACATAGGGTAGCTATGAGTCACAGAGGCTTCAATGGGAGATAACAGAATCAACATTGCTAACACTACATCAAAAAGAAAACATACACTGTATTCTAAAGTGGAACAAGGTTGATCTGACTATTATTTTATAACAGCCTTCTAACAGGGAGAGTACCATCATTAGTAATCTTATGAAACACGTGAGCTCTAGGAAACATCATAGATGTTTCTGGAGCCAGCTGAGGTTCATAATGTCTGTTGAGGCCATTTATCAACCATACAAGAAAACCATTTGTCGCAAAACAATCTATTTCAAATACATTGACAGTCATTATTCCTATTCTATTAATTATTTCTTCTTCCTTACCCACACTGGGCAGTAGGCAATTTTTACCCATCTTCCCTACCTGGAACCTACCTTGAACTTATCTTTGGAGAAGTAAGTGCTATGTTGGCAATGATTCTGTCTCAATATGGACTTCACTCCGATGCTCGCCTTACAATAATTCACTATAAATCAAATTATGGCATCAACAAGTAGAAACCATTTTAAAATAACGTATAGATGGCTAACAGTGCACATGAGTATGACGTTGGCTTTCATGTGGATTATTCCCCACGAAGACCAGGCCAAACTGTTAGATTTCCTTAAGAGAGCTTTCAAGCGCTCTGCTTGTGCATGGAAGATTTTCCCAACATATCTGTGAATCCCCAAATTTTCACACACACACAAAATCAATATAGAAACCACAATAAAATAAAAACTTTTATAAAAAAACCAAACAATTAACTAGAAAGTAGAATGGAAAATGGGTACAAAAATATAACAAAATGAAAAGAGAACTTTTGCTGTATTTTTAAAAATGAAAGATCACAGAACATTTTTTATGGTGCTTCTTAGAGACAAAGATGGCAAAGCTGGGCACACTCTGGGCACTGTTCCTTGAAAAGGGACATCATGCTTAGAAAGGTTGACGTTCAACCAATGAAAGAACGTCAATGAGATGGACTGAAGAGTCAGTGACTGCAGCAATTTGATCAAGAGTGACACGCATGATACGGATAGCCCGAGGCCCATAGGATCACTGTGAATCATCCTAGACTCCAACGCACCTAAAAACAACAACAACAAAAGACCAATCTAAATGGCTTCACAGGGGCTATCAGTCAATTTTATGACTACATCTAATACACCAGGAATAGTGGGAAAAGACACAAGTTTTTAAAGATCAACATTAAAGGAAGGGAAATTGTCACTATCCTCATGTGAATTTCATGAGGAGTCAGCAAATGGCATCAGCTGTGTTCCATTTACTACTGTGGTAAAAGAAGTCATTGTGACTATTCAAATCAAACCCCAAGATCAACCCAGAATGGAGAGATAATTGACACCAAGTGATAATCACTAGCAAGTTCTGTTCATTGAGAAAAAAAGACTCAAGGACTGAAACAAAACCACAGAACACATAAATCTGCTTTTAGAACTTTAATGAGAGCAATGCTATTCGTTTATTGGGGTTTTTGTCTTAACACTCTTTTATAACCACCAAATCTTAACCTCTAAGTCAAAGTTTTTTAAAAGGAATTTTCCTCAGGAACCAAACGAAGATGCTCACTTCTCCAAACAAACAAATTAAATGTCTACCAAAAGCAAAACAAAATGGAACAGAGGAGCCCACAGAGAAATATAAAGTAACAAAAATCACATTCTAGGGGTTCAGTGCATGGAACAGTTAGGACCTTGCTGCCAGACTTTGTGAAAACTAACACCCTAGCGCATCAAAATATACATTTTTTACCATTTCCTTTTTTAAATTAAAAATAATAATAACATCAAAAAAGAAGAAAAATCACTTAAGGAATTCACAATCGATTGCCTGATTCAGGACATTGTCTAAGAGTGAAGTTCAGAATGGCTGTGCGAATAGCACGCTGTGCACAAAGCACACATGGCCAGCGAGGTTCATCCTCAAGGTTTAGCTGTCTTCCACACAGTGTAAAATACCCACCTGGAAGGGGAGTCAAGGAATGAAAGAAGGTAACTGGAAGAAGCAGCAGAACCAAACATATATAGGTTTGTGCCTACTACTTTTAAGCAAGGTTTACATTTTCTTGAATTGGGCCATGGTTTTACCAAAGAAAAGGCATTAGATAAAGATTCTGTAGTCTAATACCTCCAAGATCTCGGAAGACTTTGAGAGAATTAATATGAGATGGGAGGGAGGGAAGGAGAGAATGGTTCATGAAGGCAGAGCAGATGATAGGATGGAGGAATGCAGAGTGACAAATAGAAGAAGGAAGCAGAACAGGCAACCAGATGGAAATGTTACCAACTGGGTATAAAAATGTCTGAACACAAAAGCATAGACTACTGAGAAGAATGAGGATGCTGGTAGCAGGTGGATGGCTGATGAGGTCGCAAAGCATGAAGATGAGCTATGTAAGGAGCGACTTTGGAAAAATGTCTGCGGCCCATGCCACCCTCTATGAAAGCTGCACTAAGCCTACAGGATGAAACGACCCGCAGCACACAGAAAAAATGACCCAGGTCATGACGAAACTGCTGTCCTGAGCTCTAAGAGAACAGAAAATAAACTTTTATCTACATGGACCCGTCTCAGTTTTAGAAGAAAACACATACATTATACATTATCTATGAAAAAATTCACTGACATTTTTTTCTCTCCCAGATTCCTTTCTGATTTATCTTACTTTCAAATTCAAATTAGCATTAAGTATAGTAATTAATTAATTCCATTACTCATAACAATAATAAACTCATAATGGGAGCTCTGGCGGCCTAGTGGTAAGCAGTTTTGTGCCCATGACAAAGGAATGACATTCAAATCCACCAGCTGCTTCAGGGGAAAAAGATGGACAATGTTCTATGTGATTCACTGTTTTTGAAAACCCACTGCTAACCTTGAAATAATTAAGACTTGATGGTAACCCAACAACAACATAATAGAGTGCTAGAGTAGTCTACATGGGAGTACCCCTTGGGCAGTTCAAATCCACCAACAGGCCCAAGTGAGAAAGACAAGCTATCTCCTCCTACGGTACTTCCTGCCTCTGAAACCACCAGGAGTTTTCAAAAGCAGGTTTCCAAGCTACAGCAAAGAGGCAGATAACAATTTAAAGAGAATGAGTATTATCAAAAAAGTATTTTAAAAACAACAGATCAACCCAAAACCTACTGTCATTGCTTAGATTCTGAGTCATAGCAATCGCCAATGTGATTCTAATTAGGGTAATCTTAAATAGAAAGCTTCTCCTATTATCACAGAGCTGATAGTGGATTTTAAACTGGCTGAGGTACTTTTAATCCTGAATCATGTGGCTGTCTAGTGCAAATGCTGAAGTACTCTGCTAATAACATAAATATCAGCAGTTCAACATTGCCCAAGGACAATTCCAAAAGCACCTGGTGATTTTGTCCTGAAAGGTTCGAGCCATGAAAACCCTATAAAGCAGTTGTCCGGTGCGGAGGTCAGGCTCACTAGGAATTCTCAATGATGTTCCATGCAGTTCGTCCCTCTGGAAAGCATACTGAGACACAGATTAGCTGGACCTCACTTTGTGCTTCATATTTCAGCCTATTAGGGGTGATTATCTGCATCTCTCACACATTCCCCTTTGGAGCTAAAAATTTGAAGATCATCTGCTAGAACCTCAATTTTGTTTAGAAGCCAAACCCGTTGCCATCTAGTCAATTCCGACTCGTAGCAACCCTGTAATACTAAGTAGATACTTACTATAGCAGAGGCTTCCAATGCCATAAATCGTTGTTCTGCAACTAAGCAGCCAGTGGGGTTGAATCTCTTATCTTCGGGTTAACAATGTAGTGATTAATCACTGTGCTGCCAGAGCTTGTTAACTTTAGGCTAGTGATGCTCAACATGGGGAAAACATAAAGTAACCCTGTTATCACTTCTAATGGGAAGCCACATCCCATAATCAGTAACCCAAGAATCAGTTTTGTAAACCTGGGACCTTATCTATTAACAAGAATCCCATTGATTATAGGAATTCAATGTGTCAAAGTTGTTTGGGATTTACTTCAGCACCCAAATCAAGCAACACGTCACAGTCAAAGGATACAATTCCAAGTATGAAGGGACACAGACAATCTCCTTGGAGAATTCCACAGGACAATACAGGCGCCCAAGCTGTTCTTCATAGAGGGACAGGGCTTCGGTCAAATTGACGCAGTTCCCCTGAATCAAACAGAGAAAACCGAATTCTTCAGTCCTGCTTAGTGGCATACCAATTTGAAGTCCTTTAATAAAGGAGAACAACTCCACTTTTAGATAAAAGTTTTTCATTGGAAATTAAATGAGGTTTCCGTACTTTAAAAAATTGCATGTAAAGCTGTTTATAAACCAAATTAGCACATTATGCTTCTACCTCACTTACCAAATTATTTCAAATTATTAGAGGCTGAAGCAATAGCAAGCAGTCAGACCAATTTCCATACACCAGGGATGTGTCCTGTCTCCATACCTTTTCAACCTGTATGCAGAAAAGATTATCTGGGAGGCTGGGCTCTATGAGGAGAAGCATGGCATCATGATTGGTGGAAGATCTATCAACAGTCTGCGTTATGCAGATGACAGAACCAGGATTCCTGAAACTGAGGAGGACCTAAAGTGCTTGGCCCAGAAGGTCAAGGGAAGTTGGGGAATAGTCACTAAGGCATAGATCTATTACTCCGCCAAAATGACTGCTTAAGAAAGACAGACAGAGTGAGCTCTGGTGGCCTAGTGGCAAGAAGCTGCACTGCAATACCAGAGGTGTGCAGTTTGAATCCACCAGATGCTCTACTGAAGATGGAGGACAATCTCCTCCTGTGCCTGTCAGACCTGATTTGACAGTACACACAAACACACACATAATAAAAAAAATAAAATAAAGAACTTATAAAAAAATTAAAAATAAAAATATAAACCATTAAAAAAAATGACAGGCAGAATTCCGATGAAAGGTGAACTGTGGCTGTCAATGACAATCAATCGGCAAAGGTGTCTGGGGAATAGAAAATAATTTCTCAAGAGTGGGGGCCACCCAGATTCGATTGTCAATCTTCCTGAGGAAAAAAAGGGGGGGGGGGGGGGAGAGAACAACACTAAAAACAAACACACAAAACCAGAGATACATAAAGTACACCCACAATGTTTACATATCACTCTCTCCCAACTTTTCTACATTCACTAGGCCTAATAGAGAAAAGACCCAAGTTAGACGTGCACTTGACGATGATGCTTTAGAAGTTGTCAACAAAATTTGGTTCATGTAAATTAAGTCCAGCTAGAACGTCAAAATATAACTTTATCTTCTACAAAAAGAAAAACATAAGTTTGTTCTTGTACTTTGAAAGACAATTTGGCAGCATCAGGCTAGACGGTAAAGAGATTCAGATTGTTAACAACTTTAGTATGCTTGACTCTATAATCAACACTCGTGGTACCAGCAGCATGAGGAAAGTCTGCAGTCAGAGATCTCTACAAAATACTGTCAGACTGCATACTAAGGGGTGCCTGATATAGGCAATGGTCTTCGTAATCACTTGCTATACATCTGAGAGCTAGACAAAACAAGGGATGATAGAAGGAGAATTGTTGCCTTTGAGCTGTGGTGCTACTACCATATGAAAGCAAGATATTTCTTTAAACTATCAATAATTATCAATAAAAGACTTGAACAGCACAACAGACAACTACCAGAAGTAGCAGACGCGATAACACTAGGGATATTATAGCTAATGTTAGCTGCATCTTGGCTGAATCACTGTGTTTAGTGGACTATACAGTAACACTGGATTTGTGTTGAACACAGTAAACTGTGGCTAAATCTGACATGAATGGAAATCCCAGAATACTTGTGTTTATATAAAACATATACATGGATCAGGAGTCAGTTGTCAGAGAAGATGAGGACCTGTATTCTTCAAATGGATTAAAGCTCAACATCAGGAAAGCAAAGATTATCATCACTGTGCATAATGGCATAGACGGTAATTGTTAACAGCTTCAGCTTGCTTGGCTACACATCAAAATTCTTGGTACTACCAGCAAGAAATCAAAAGATGAACGGCACAGGGAAAATGTCAGTCTAGAGACTAAGATGCACCTGATACTGACCATGCATGAGAAAGCTGGACAATGACTAAGGATGATAGAACAATTCAGGCTGCTCCTTGGAAGCAAGGATTTTATGCTCCCTCTTACATGTACGTTGAGAAGGACATCATGCTTTGAAAAGTGGAGGGACAGCAAAGGAGAGGGAGACTCAGTATGAGACGGATTGCTTCAGTGACTGGGACAAAAACAATGAGAATGGCTCAACATACAGTAGGGTTCCGAGCTATTGTAAAGAGGGTCTCTAAAAATTCAAAGCAACAACAGAATAAAAGTAAGGATCTACACAGTTAACCCCAAAACAATAGTTTCAATGCATGAATTAATCTTTGGGAGAAATACGAGTGCTCTCCCTTGCAATATTCAGACTCTGAAAACCTATTAGAAGATCAGCTATGAATCACTTTTACTGCAATGGCACATAACATGAACGCAGAAATCATAACTATTCATCTTACCTCTATGCCTATCTATGCATCTACTTGGAGATTAATATTATTGCTGCTGTCACAGGATATCAAAACGAGGATGGATAGTTATATTGGTAATAGGAAGGTTGGAGTGTTAAATCCACCAGCCAACCTGAGGGAAAAAATTGGGAGGTCTGCCCACAATAAACGTCCTGGAAAACCTTAAAAACAACAATAGAGGGTCACCATATGTTGAAATCAACTCAAAAGCAGTGGGTTACGGTTATCCTTTTTTATTCCTCTTAAGTAATACCACTTACTTACTTTTTTTCCCCTAACGATCATGAGAAATGAAACCCATTCCCGTAGAGTCCATTTTGACTCATGGTGACCCAGTACAACAGAGCAGGCTAGAAATCCCCATGGGATTTCCGGGAGGCAGACTTTGCCCATCCATGGAGAGGCTGGTGAGTCAAAGAGCCTTCTGCCTCACTTCCTAGCCTTTAAACCCTCCACCAAAAGGATTCTAGGATGGTTGGAAGACTATGGAATAAATATGTTTACTTCATTTCTTTCTGAAATCTTATTTGTCTCCAAATAGTTCAGTCCATTAATTTAATGTAGAAACAAACACAAACTGTGAACTATGTGCCTTTAAGAACGACATTTCAAAAGCATGGAAATGGTCCTGGGAGAGTAGGTAGAAATAGCTATTCTAAGCCTGGCTTCGGTGGTTTTCAGTTAGCACATTCAAATACAATGATGTCATCCTTCAGTGTCGGCCGGTCTTCCACCCCATGATCCCATTATGCATTGGGATTTGCCAAAGTGCCCTTCACCAACATATAATTTGGTTTCAACATCAAGTTCACTCTGAGAGCATATAAAGACCACACATGTAATTTAAGCATCTCAAATAGAAAATACGGCTCGGTTGTTTTTAGAACGCATACAAACTGGAGAAGCTATAGGATAGAAATACCACCAAGGTGTATGGTTAGATGGTTTTCCTCCCCATCCTAAGATGCACTCTCACTCTTTTTATAGAGGATCTATGAGAGGACCTCCAAACGGAGACTGTGGTAAGGAAATAGGAAAGTTTCAATTTGTTCTTTCCCAAGATTGTCAAAAAAAGCAGGTTAAATAAGAAAGTCACCACAAAGAAGGACGTACCCCTCAGAAAGTAACATGATACACTGCACTATTCCTGTGTATTTTAAAATAAATCAAAACTGATATTTGTCCTTTTCCTTTTTTAAAACACGGGGAGAAAACAGAACAAAAATTTTGTATCCAAGACTTAATTTACCTATAAACACTAAGAAAGGAATGGAGTAAATGTGATCAGTACCTTTTTCTCTTCTAGAAAGTTCTTCTTGGGCCAAGCTAAGGGTAGATGACTCCTCTTCATTTAAAATTTCTGTACTGTTTGCATACTTTGACCTTACTTGGAATGTATTACATCTCTAAGGTGCCTTTGGGTTGTAATCTGTCATATGTCGGGTTGGTTCGAATCTACCCACTCCATGGAAAAAGACGATGCAATCTTCACTCATAAAGATTTACAGCCCCATTAGAACTGAGACATAAACAGAGATTTGTACACCAGTGTTCATAGCAGTGGTATTCACAGTTGTATGACGATGGAAAAAGACAAATGTTCTCAATTAAATGGATTGAAAGTGCAGTACATTCACACAATGGCATACTACACAGAACATATAAGCAACTATTTCAAAAAATACTACATAAAATGGGAGAGACTAGGGAGCCTTACTCAAAGTGAACTAACTCAGTTTCAAAAGGACAAGAACTGCATAAGACCATATCTGTAAAAAAAGAAGGATATAGTAAAACATATATTAGTCCCCAAGTTGAAGAAGGCATGAGACGGGTGACAGTGGGACAGAGGGAGATCAGAGAGGTATACAATTTGATGATTAGAGGTAAAGGGTTAAAAAAAAATTGGAATGATGCAGCGGGGACCAAAAACCACAGAATAGGAGCATAATTAAATAAGGATTACCTTTTTTTATTTATTTATTAATTTATTTTTAATTTGGTGTACCGTCAAATTGGATCCGACTGGCACAGGAGGAGTTTGCCCCTCCTTATCCAGCACAGCATCTTGTGGATTTGAATCGCACACCGTCGGGACTGCAGTGCAGCTTCTTGCCACTAGGCCAGCAGAGGTCCCTGAGGAATACTTTTATAAAACAAAAATGCATGGGAATGATTTTCTGAAACACAAATTCAATAAACCCAAGTGTAAAACACAATGTATATGAACTTTGGATGAAAACGAATACAAAATAAAAACACGCATTTATACTCAGAAATGTGATATAGGGTTAGCATGTGTTAGAAACAATATGCTATTGGTGCAACCACTGTTGAAGACGGTATGGTGCTTTCCCAAAAAGTTGCAAATAGATACTATTTGACCCTGGATGACATTATGCTCAGTGAAGAATCGCAGTCACAAAAGGAAAAATACTGCATGGTGCCACTGTTGTAATAAAATAGGACTGACCTTGGGGTTGGGGAGAGTCTGAAAAAGATGGGTTCAATAATGTATATTGCATTGAAACAGATGAGCGAAAAACTGTTTAAAAGGGATATGTGACTAGGTATTTTTGTCATGACAGGAATCTAGAGCGAAGGAACCAC